GTGGTCGTTATTTCTGTAAAAGACAAGAAGAGGAACGGATTAGAAAATGATATTATTCAATTGTCTTTTAAATATCCTAGCTAGAAAATTTCATTTAAAAGCCTTTGCGGTTACAGAAAAAAATGCCAATGGAGAATCGATCTGAGCTTGAGTATCAAGACGTACCTTCCATGCAACCCAGGAAATCAACACGCAAACTTCCGGAGTCCTCTGTGTCAATTGACAAAATCTCCAGTCGAAGTTCTTCGATTCTAGTCACTGGAGTAGGCAAGATTGCAGTCACAGGCCTTCTACCATTCAGGGTGGCCTCGACAATCTGGGCAAGAAAACACAAATTTCATTTAGTTACAGAGGTTTGCAAGATTTGGGTATTTAGGACATGAATCGAGAGGTATATACCCAATTTTTTTTTAAATTCTAGGTTATCGTAGTGCAAAAAGGAACCAGACTATTTTTCCTTCCAGCCCCGCTTTGGTTACATTGATTTTAATGGAAGCAATGAATGGGTGCAACATGATAATGGTCTTTTGATTGATGAAGCTTATGGAAAAACTTACGAGTGGTTTGCCCGAGGAATCCAGCACATCAGTGTAAATTTGGGTTGATCGATCCCGGACCAACGGAATTATTCGGACCGGTTTGGATTGGTCGCTGTCTCCCTGGAGCTTCAAGGCGTGCACTTGGACTTCGGTGTTAAACTTGACGTCCAGTTTGGGGTTTTGGTCGCGGTTGTCCTCAGGATTGGACTGTAGCTCGAATATCCAAGGTTTATCAGCGTTGATATCAGTTGACTGATCTTCAGACGCTGGAGTTGTAGAACGGCTACTCTCAAGTCCTTGCTCGCCGTCCATTGGCTCCATACAGTATCCTTGAAAGAAAGACATTCAGAATATCAGAATGTTGCTGGAATTGAAATGAGTTGGAGTTTGGAAATAAACCGCGGTCAATCAAGTACTTTGAACAGAGAAGAATGCAAAAGCCATCTCTCCAAAAGTATCGGGAAAATGCAAATACCCCCCACCCGAAAAAGAACCCCAACAACAACAACAACAACAACAACGCATACCTGCTGTGGTGGATGTAGAGGTCTGGGTAGTTGTTGTCACAACTGTTTAAGGAGAGAAAAATACAACATTGTGAGTGTTTTCAGGGTACAATTTCGCGCCAGTGACTGTTGATCTGTACAGAGAATGCCATCTAAAAATCTTGACATGCACTACTCTTTTTCGTGCAATATTTGTTTTGCCGGAAAACGAAAGATGTTTACCTTTAGTCGTCGTTGCAGCCGGAGTTGTGGTCGTTATTTCTGTAAAAGACAAGAAGAAAAACGGATTAGAAAATGATATTATTTAATTGTCTTTAAAATATCCAGCTAGAATATTTCATTGAGACGCCTTTGCGGTAACAGAAAAAATGCCGATGGAGAATCGATCTGAGCTTGAGTATCAAGACGTACCTTCCATGCAACCCAGGAAATCAACACGCAAACTTCCAGAGTCCTCTGTGTCAATTGACAAAATCTCCAGTCGAAGTTCTTCGATTCTAGTCACTGGAGTAGGCAAGATTGCAGTCACAGGCCTTCTACCATTCAGGGTGGCCTCGACAATCTGGGCAAGAAAACACAAATTTCATTTAGTTACAGAGGTTTGCAAGATTTGGATATTTAGGACATGAATCGAGAGATATATACCCATTTTTTTTTTAAATTCTAGGTTGTCCTAGTGCAAAAAGGAACCAGACTATTTTTCCTTCCAGGCCCGCTTTGGTTACATTGATTTTAATGGAAGCAATGAAATGGGTGCAACATGATAATGGTCTTTTGATTGATGAAGCTTATGGAAAAACTTACGAGTGGTTTGCCCGAGGAATCCAGCACATCAGTGTAAATTTGGGTTGATCGATCCCGGACCAACGGAATTATTCGGACCGTTTGGGATTGGTCGCTGTCTCCCTGGAGCTTCAAGGCGTGCACTTGAACTTCGGTGTTAAACTTGACGTCCAGTTTGGGGTTTTGGTCGCGGTTGTCCTCAGGATTGGACTGTAGCTCGAATATCCAAGGTTTATCAGCGTTGATATCAGTTGACTGATCTTCAGACGCTGGAGTTGTAGAACGGCTACTCTCAAGTCCTTGCTCGCCGTCCATTGCCTCCATACAGTATCCTTGAAAGAAAGACATTCAGAATATCAGAATGTTGTTGGAATTGAAATGAGTTGGAGTTTGGAAATAAACCGCGGTCAATCAAGTACTTTGAGCAGAGAATACAAAAGCCATCTCACCAAAAGTATCGGGAAATGCAAATTCCCCCCCCCCCCCGAAAAAAACCCCCAACAACAACAACAACAACAACAACGCATACCTGCTGTGGTGGATGTAGAGGTCTGGGTAGTTGTTGTCACAACTGTTTAAGGAGAGAAAAATACAACATTGTGAGTGTTTTGCCAAAGTTATAGAATCGAATAACGCTTTTGGACTATTTAGAGGTTATTTTAGGGAGCATCCAATTTCTAATATTATCTAAACATATAAATGATAAAATTAAAACAGTGCTCACCAGTTAGTAATACCCGAGCTTTCCATGCGTTCACCTTCATCAGGGGATACGCCACGAAAACTCGGGTTTTACTATACAAGGACATTTCATTATTTCTCACCAGGGGTATTATATAATATATACATATGTATAATATGAAACATACATCTCATGACTGATAATACACCAGCAGAAATGTCTTCAATCCTCAAAATTTAATACATACCTGGTCGCGTTGGCCGTGTTGTTGTTTTAATATCAGACCCTCCAGGACGACCTGAGTTAACGAAGAAAATACATTTATATTAACCTTTAGGTTTATCACATTATGACACGACACATATATTAAGTAAAATCCATAAATTAATCTGTAATGCATTATTCATTATTCTTCATTCATCAACTGTTATTGGATTCTTCGCTTCACACGAGGTTAAAAATGGAATGACTGAACATTTGCGTGTAGTTGTTGCTGCTGGAGTAGTGGTTGAAGCTTCTGCTTGGATAGAAAAAAGAAAAGCAGATTCAAAATGGGAATATGAATCTGTTTGCACATCTCAAGTCGAAATATACATGCAGTAAATCTAGTAATAATATCATAAATCAGTAAAAAATGTAGCCCATCTTCACATACCTTCTCTGCAACCCAGGAAATCAACGCGCAAACTTCCCTCGTCACTGTCTCCAATGGACAAGATCTCAAGTCGCAGTTGTTTGATCCCGGTCACCGGAGAGGGCAATATAAGAGTTACAGGCCTTTGACCATTAAGAGTCACCTCTTGAATCTGTCAGTTAAAAAACAAGAATCTCTGAATTCCAATGACTTTCGAACAATTTTTTTCCACTTCAGCTTGAATTCAAATTTACCAATTCATTTCGAGAAATAACTACCAAAAAAGAAATTGCTGCACTAACCAATGGCTTGCCAGAGGAGTCCAGTACATCACTGAAAGATTGAGTGTTGCTATCAAATACCGTCAGGATGATTCTAACTTCTGGACTTTCATTTGTATTTCCCTGCAGCTTCAAGGCATGTACTTCAACCTTTGTGTTGAATTGGACGTTCAATTTGGGGTTTTGGTCGCGGTTGTCCTCAGGATTGGACTGTAGCTCGAATGTCCAAGGTTTGTCAGCGTTGATATCAGTTGACTGATCTTCAGACGCTGGAGTTGTAGAACGGCTACTCTCAAGTCCTTGCTCGCCGTCCATTGCCTCCATACAGTATCCTTGAAAGAAAGACATTCAGAATATCAGAATGGTGTTGGAATTGAAATTAGTTGGAGTTGGGAAATAAACCGCGGTCAATCAAGTACTTTGAATAGAGAATGCAAAAGCCATCTCACCAAAAGTATCGGGAAAATGCAAATTACCCCCCACCCGAAAAAAACCCCAACAACAACAACAACAACGCATACCTGCTGTGGTGGATGTAGAGGTCTGGGTAGTTGTTGTCACAACTGTTTAAGGAGAGAAAAATACAACATTGTGAGTGTTTTCAGGGTACAATTTCGCGCCAGTGACTGTTGATCTGTACAGAGAATGCCATCTAAAAATCTTGACATGCACTACTCTTTTTCGTGCAATATTTGTTTTGCCGGAAAACGAAGGATGTTTACCTTTAGTCGTCGTTGCAGCCGGAGTTGTGGTCGTTATTTCTGTAAAAGACAAGAAGAGGAACGGATTAGAAAATGATATTATTCAATTGTCTTTAAAATATGCTAGCTAGAATATTTCATTGAGACGCCTTTGCGGTTACAGAAAAAATGCCGATGGAGAATCGATCTGAGGTTGAGTATCAAGACGTACCTTCCATGCAACCCAGGAAATCAACACGCAAACTTCCGGAGTCCTCTGTGTCAAATGACAGAATCTCCAGTCGAAGTTCTTCGATTCTAGTCACTGGAGTAGGCAAGATTGCAGTCACAGGCCTTCTACCATTCAGGGTGGCCTCGACAATCTGGGCAAGAAAACACAAATTTCATTTAGTTACAGAGGTTTGCAAGATTTGGGTATTTAGGACATGAATCGAGAGGTATATACCCAATTTTTTTTTAAATTCTAGGTTATCGTAGTGCAAAAAGGAACCAGACTATTTTTCCTTCCAGCCCCGCTTTGGTTACATTGATTTTAATGGAAGCAATGAAATGGGTGCAACATGATAATGGTCTTTTGATTGATGAAGCTTATGGAAAAACTTACGAGTGGTTTGCCCGAGGAATCCAGCACATCAGTGTAAATTTGGGTTGATCGATCCCGGACCAACGGAATTATTCGGACCGTTTGGGATTGGTCGCTGTCTCCCTGGAGCTTCAAGGCGTGCACTTGGACTTCGGTGTTAAACTTGACGTCCAGTTTAGGGTTTTGGTCGCGGTTGTCCTCAGGATTGGACTGTAGCTCGAATGTCCAAGGTTTATCAGCGTTGATATCAGTTGACTGAGCTTCAGACGCTGGAGTTGTAGAACGGCTACTCTCAAGTCCTTGCTCGCCGTCCATTGGCTCCATACAGTATCCTTGAAAGAAAGACATTCAGAATATCAGAATGTTGTTGGAATTGAAATGAGTTGGAGTTTGGAAATAAACCGCGGTCAATCAAGTACTTTGAACAGAGAATGCAAAAGCCATCTCTCCAAAAGTATCTGGAAAATGCAAATACCCCCAACCCGAAAAAGAACCCCAACAACAACAACAACAACGCATACCTGCTGTGGTGGATGTAGAGGTCTGGGTAGTTGTTGTCACAACTGTTTAAGGAGAGAAAAATACAACATTGTGAGTGTTTTCAGGGTACAATTTCGCGCCTGTTGATCTGTACAGAGAATGCCATCTAAAAATCTTGACATGCACTACTCTTTTTCGTGCAATATTTGTTTTGCCGGAAAATGAAAGATGTTTACCTTTAGTCGTCGTTGCAGCCGGAGTTGTGGTCGTTATTTCTGTAAAAGACAAGAAGAAGAACGGATTAGAAAATGATATTATTCAATTGTCTTTTAAAATTTCATTTAGAACCCTTTGCGGTTACAGAAAAAATGCCAATGGAGAATCGATCTGAGCTTGAGTATCAAGACGTACCTTCCATGCAACCCAGGAAATCAACACGCAAACTTCCAGAGTCCTCTGTGTCAATTGACAGAATCTCCAGTCGAAGTTCTTCGATTCTAGTCACTGGAGTAGGCAAGATTGCAGTCACAGGCCTTCTACCATTCAGGGTGGCCTCGACAATCTGGGCAAGAAAACACAAATTTCATTTAGTTACAGAGGTTTGCAAGATTTGGGTATTTAGGACATGAATCGAGAGGTATATACCCAATTTTTTTTAAATTCTAGGTTATCGTAGTGCAAAAAGGAACCAGACTATTTTTCCTTCCAGCCCCGCTTTGGTTACGTTGATTTTAATGGAAGCAATGAAATGGGTGCAACATGATAATGGTCTTTTGATTGATGAAGCTTATGGAAAAACTTACGAGTGGTTTGCCCGAGGAATCCAGCACATCAGTGTAAATTTGGGTTGATCGATCCCGGACCAACGAAATTATTCGGACCGTTTGGGATTGGTCGCTGTCTCCCTGGAGCTTCAAGGCGTGCACTTGGACTTCGGTGTTAAACTTGACGTCCAGTTTGGGGTTTTGGTCGCGGTTGTCCTCAGGATTGGACTGTAGCTCGAATGTCCAAGGTTTATCAGCGTTGATATCAGTTGACTGATCTTCATACGCTGGAGTTGTAGAACGGCTACTCTCAAGTCCTTGCTCGCCGTCCATTGCCTCCATACAGTATCCTTGAAAGAAAGACATTTAGAATATCAGAATGTTGCTGGAATTGAAATTAGTTGGAGTTGGGAAATAAACCGCGGTCAATCAAGTACTTTGAATAGAGAATGCAAAAGCCATCTCACCAAAAGTATCGGGAAAATGCAAATTACTCCCCCCCCCGAAAAAAACCCCAACAACAACAACAACAACAACAACGCATACCTGCTGTGGTGGATGTAGAGGTCTGGGTAGTTGTTGTCACAACTGTTTAAGGAGAGAAAAATACAATATTGTGAGTGTTTTCAGGGTACAATTTCGCGCCAGTGACTGTTGATCTGTACAGAGAATGCCATCTAAAAATCTTGACATGCACTACTCTTTTTCGTGCAATATTTGTTTTGCCGGAAAACGAAGGATGTTTACCTTTAGTCGTCGTTGCAGCCGGAGTTGTGGTCGTTATTTCTGTAAAAGACAAGAAGAGGAACGGATTAGAAAATGATATTATTCAATTGTCTTTTAAATATCCTAGCTAGAAAATTTCATTTAAAAGCCTTTGCGGTTACAGAAAAAAATGCCAATGGAGAATCGATCTGAGCTTGAGTATCAAGACGTACCTTCCATGCAACCCAGGAAATCAACACGCAAACTTCCGGAGTCCTCTGTGTCAATTGACAAAATCTCCAGTCGAAGTTCTTCGATTCTAGTCACTGGAGTAGGCAAGATTGCAGTCACAGGCCTTCTACCATTCAGGGTGGCCTCGACAATCTGGGCAAGAAAACACAAATTTCATTTAGTTACAGAGGTTTGCAAGATTTGGGTATTTAGGACATGAATCGAGAGGTATATACCCAATTTATTTTTAAATTCTAGGTGATCCTAGTGCAAAAAGGAACCAGACTATTTTTCCTTCCAGCCCCGCTTTGGTTACATTGATTTGAATGGAAGCAATGAAATGGGTGCAACATGATAATGGTCTTTTGATTGATGAAGCTTATGGAAGAACTTACGAGTGGTTTGCCCGAGGAATCCAGCACATCAGTGTAAATTTGGGTTGATCGATCCCGGACCAACGGAATTATTCGGACCGTTTGGGATTGGTCGCTGTCTCCCTGGAGCTTCAAGGCGTGCACTTGGACTTCGGTGTTAAACTTGACGTCCAGTTTGGGGTTTTGGTCGCGGTTGTCCTCAGGATTGGACTGTAGCTCGAATATCCAAGGTTTATCAGCGTTGATATCAGTTGACTGATCTTCAGACGCTGGAGTTGAAGAACGGATACTCTCAAGTCCTTGCTCGCCGTCCATTGGCTCCATACAGTATCCTTGAAAGAAAGACATTTAGAATATCAGAATGTTGCTGGAATTGAAATTAGTTGGAGTTGGGAAATAAACCGCGGTCAATCAAGTACTTTGAATAGAGAATGCAAAAGCCATCTCACCAAAAGTATCGGAAAAATGCAAATCCCCCCCCCGAAAAAAACCCCCAACAACAACAACAACAACAACAACGCATACCTGCTGTGGTGGATGTAGAGGTCTGGGTAGTTGTTGTCACAACTGTTTAAGGAGAGAAAAATACAACATTGTGAGTGTTTTCAGGGTACAATTTCGCGCCAGTGACTGTTGATCTGAACAGCGAATGCCATCTAAAAATCTTGACATGCACTACTCTTTTTCGTGTAATATTTGTTTTGCCGGAAAACGAAGGATGTTTACCTTTAGTCGTCGTTGCAGCCGGAGTTGTGGTCGTTATTTCTGTAAAAGACAAGAAGAGGAACGGATTAGAAAATGATATTATTCAATTGTCTTTTAAATATCCTAGCTAGAAAATTTCATTTAAAAGCCTTTGCGGTTACAGAAAAAAATGCCAATGGAGAATCGATCTGAGCTTGAGTATCAAGACGTACCTTCCATGCAACCCAGGAAATCAACACGCAAACTTCCGGAGTCCTCTGTGTCAATTGACAAAATCTCCAGTCGAAGTTCTTCGATTCTAGTCACTGGAGTAGGCAAGATTGCAGTCACAGGCCTTCTACCATTCAGGGTGGCCTCGACAATCTGGGCAAGAAAACACAAATTTCATTTAGTTACAGAGGTTTGCAAGATTTGGGTATTTAGGCCATGAATCGAGAGGTATATACCCAATTTATTTTTAAATTCTAGGTGATCCTAGTGCAAAAAGGAACCAGACTATTTTTCCTTCCAGCCCCGCTTTGGTTACATTGATTTGAATGGAAGCAATGAAATGGGTGCAACATGATAATGGTCTTTTGATTGATGAAGCTTATGGAAGAACTTACGAGTGGTTTGCCCGAGGAATCCAGCACATCAGTGTAAATTTGGGTTGATCGATCCCGGACCAACGGAATTATTCGGACCGTTTGGGATTGGTCGCTGTCTCCCTGGAGCTTCAAGGCGTGCACTTGGACTTCGGTGTTAAACTTGACGTCCAGTTTGGGGTTTTGGTCGCGGTTGTCCTCAGGATTGGACTGTAGCTCGAATGTCCAAGGTTTATCAGCGTTGATATCAGTTGACTGATCTTCAGACGCTGGAGTTGAAGAACGGATACTCTCAAGTCCTTGCTCGCCGTCCATTGGCTCCATACAGTATCCTTGAAAGAAAGACATTGAGAATATCAGAATGTTGCTGGAATTGAAATTAGTTGGAGTTGGGAAATAAACCGCGGTCAATCAAGTACTTTGAATAGAGAATGCAAAAGCTATCTCACCAAAAGTATCGGAAAAATGCAAATTCCCCCCCCGAAAAAAACCCCAACAACAACAACAACAACAACAACAACAACAACAACGCATACCTGCTGTGGTGGATGTAGAGGTCTGGGTAGTTGTTGTCACAACTGTTTAAGGAGAGAAAAATACAACATTGTGAGTGTTTTCAGGGTACAATTTCGCGCCAGTGACTGTTGATCTGTACAGCGAATGCCATCTAAAAATCTTGACATGCACTACTCTTTTTCGTGTAATATTTGTTTTGCCGGAAAACGAAGGATGTTTACCTTTAGTCGTCGTTGCAGCCGGAGTTGTGGTCGTTATTTCTGTAAAAGACAAGAAGAGGAACGGATTAGAAAATGATATTATTCAATTGTCTTTTAAATATCCTAGCTAGAAAATTTCATTTAAAAGCCTTTGCGGTTACAGAAAAAAATGCCAATGGAGAATCGATCTGAGCTTGAGTATCAAGACGTACCTTCCATGCAACCCAGGAAATCAACACGCAAACTTCCGGAGTCCTCTGTGTCAATTGACAAAATCTCCAGTCGAAGTTCTTCGATTCTAGTCACTGGAGTAGGCAAGATTGCAGTCACAGGCCTTCTACCATTCAGGGTGGCCTCGACAATCTGGGCAAGAAAACACAAATTTCATTTAGTTACAGAGGTTTGCAAGATTTGGGTATTTAGGACATGAATCGAGAGGTATATACCCAATTCATTTTTAAATTCTAGGTGATCCTAGTGCAAAAAGGAACCAGACTATTTTTCCTTCCAGCCCCGCTTTGGTTACATTGATTTGAATGGAAGCAATGAAATGGGTGCAACATGATAATGGTCTTTTGATTGATGAAGCTGATGGAAAAACTTACGAGTGGTTTGCCCGAGGAATCCAGCACATCAGTGTAAATTTGGGTTGATCGATCCCGGACCAACGGAATTATTCGGACCGTTTGGGATTGGTCGCTGTCTCCCTGGAGCTTCAAGGCGTGCACTTGGACTTCGGTGTTAAACTTGACGTCCAGTTTGGGGTTTTGGTCGCGGTTGTCCTCAGGATTGGACTGTAGCTCGAATATCCAAGGTTTATCAGCGTTGATATCAGTTGACTGATCTTCAGACGCTGGAGTTGTAGAACGGCTACTCTCAAGTCCTTGCTCGCCGTCCATTGGCTCCATACAGTATCCTTGAAAGAAAGACATTCAGAATATCAGAATGTTGTTGGAATTGAAATTAGTTGGAGTTGGGAAATCAACCGCGGTCAATCCAGTACTTTGAACAGAGAATGCAAAAGCCATCTCTCCAAAAGTATCGGGAAAATGCAAATACCCCCCACCCGAAAAAGAACAACCAACAACAACAACAACAACAACAACAACAACAACGCATACCTGCTGTGGTGGATGTAGAGGTCTGGGTAGTTGTTGTCACAACTGTTTAAGGAGAGAAAAATACAACATTGTGAGTGTTTTCTGGGTACAATTTCGCGCCAGTGACTGTTGATCTGTACAGAGAATGCCATCTAAAAATCTTGACATGCACTACTCTTTTTCGTGCAATATTTGTTTTGCCGGAAAACGAAGGATGTTTACCTTTAGTCGTCGTTGTAGCCGGAGTTGTGGTCGTTATTTCTGTAAACGACAAGAAGAGGAACGGATTAGAAAATGATATTATTCAATTGTCTTTTAAATATCCTAGCTAGAATATTTCATTGAGACGCCTTTGCGGTTACAGAAAAAATGCCGATGGAGAATCGATCTGAGCTTGAGTATCAAGACGTACCTTCCATGCAACCCAGGAAATCAACACGCAAACTTCCGGAGTCCTCTGTGTCAATTGACAAAATCTCCAGTCGAAGTTCTTCGATTCTAGTCACTGGAGTAGGCAAGATTGCAGTCACAGGCCTTCTACCATTCAGGGTGGCCTCGACAATCTGGGAAAGAAAACACAAATTTCATTTAGTTACAGAGGTTTGCAAGATTTGGGTATGTAGTACATGAATCGAGAGATATATACCCAATTTTTTTGTAAATTCTAGGTTGTCCTAGTGCAAAAAGGAACCAGACTATTTTTCCTTCCAGCCCCGCTTTGGTTACATTGATTTTAATGGAGGCAATGAAATGGGTGCAACATGATAATGGTCTTTTGATTGATGAAGCTTATGGAAAAACTTACGAGTGGTTTGCCCGAGGAATCCAGCACATCAGTGTAAATTTGGGTTGATCGATCCCGGACCAACGGAATTATTCGGACCGTTTGGGATTGGTCGCTGTCTCCCTGGAGCTTCAAGGCGTGCACTTGGACTTCGGTGTTAAACTTGACGTCCAGTTTGGGGTTTTGGTCGCGGTTGTCCTCAGGATTGGACTGTAGCTCGAATGTCCAAGGTTTATCAGCGTTGATATCAGTTGACCGATCTTCAGACGCTGGAGTTGTAGAACGGCTACTCTCAAGTCCTTGCTCGCCGTCCATTGGCTCCATACAGTATCCTTGAAAGAAAGACATTGAGAATATCAGAATGTTGCTGGAATTGAAATTAGTTGGAGTTGGGAAATAAACCGCGGTCAATCAAGTACTTTGAATAGAGAATGCAAAAGCCATCTCACCAAAAGTATCGGAAAAATGCAAATCCCCCCCCCGAAAAAAACCCCAACAACAACAACAACAACAACAACGCATACCTGCTGTGGTGGATGTAGAGGTCTGGGTAGTTGTTGTCACAACTGTTTAAGGAGAGAAAAATACAACATTGTGAGTGTTTTCAGGGTACAATTTCGCGCCAGTGACTGTTGATCTGTACAGTGAATGCCATCTAAAAATCTTGACATGCACTACTCTTTTTCGTGTAATATTTGTTTTGCCGGAAAACGAAGGATGTTTACCTTTAGTCGTCGTTGCAGCCGGAGTTGTGGTCGTTATTTCTGTAAAAGACAAGAAGAGGAACGGATTAGAAAATGATATTATTCAATTGTCTTTTAAATATCCTAGCTAGAAAATTTCATTTAAAAGCCTTTGCGGTTACAGAAAAAAATGCCAATGGAGAATCGATCTGAGCTTGAGTATCAAGACGTACCTTCCATGCAACCCAGGAAATCAACACGCAAACTTCCGGAGTCCTCTGTGTCAATTGACAAAATCTCCAGTCGAAGTTCTTCGATTCTAGTCACTGGAGTAGGCAAGATTGCAGTCACAGGCCTTCTACCATTCAGGGTGGCCTCGACAATCTGGGCAAGAAAACACAAATTTCATTTAGTTACAGAGGTTTGCAAGATTTGGGTATTTAGGACATGAATCGAGAGGTATATACCCAATTTATTTTTAAATTCTAGGTGATCCTAGTGCAAAAAGGAACCAGACTATTTTTCCTCCCAGCCCCGCTTTGGTTACATTGATTTTAATGGAAGCAATGAAATGGGTGCAACATGATAATGGTCTTTTGATTGATGAAGCTTATGGAAGAACTTACGAGTGGTACGCCCGAGGAATCCAGCACATCACTGTAAGCTTGGGTTGATCGATCCCGGACCGACGGAATTATTCGGACCGTTTGGGATTGGTCGCTGTCTCCCTGGAGCTTCAAGGCGTGCACTTGGACTTCGGTGTTAAACTTGACGTCCAGTTTGGGGTTTTGGTCGCGGTAGTCCTCTGGATTGGACTGTAGCTCGAATGTCCAAGGTTTATCAGCGTTGATATCAGTTGACTGATCTTCAGATGCTGGAGTTGTAGAACGGCTGCTCTCAAGTCCTTGCTCACCGTCCAATGGTTTCATACAGTATCCTTGAAAGAATGACATTCGGAAAGTGAGAATGCTGTCAGATTTGGAAGTGGGCTGGATCACCAAATAATAAAGTCGGACAGACGTTGATGGTGCAGCTGGGTTCGTAGGAATATGCCAATGTGTAGTGGCGGATGTAGACCGGGGTGATGGTGGAGGCGGGGGGATGCTGGCTTGCAACCCCATGTTCAGCCGCTGATGCATGCAAGTTTAGTCATTGGGTTCTTTTCTACAATTGATTTTTTTTTTTTATAAATTACCCTTTTTTTAAAACAAACTAAAACTAAAATGTACTTAATATCAGTTTCGTAGCCGTGGTGGTGATGGGGGGTGTTGCAGAATGTGAGATTGCAACGGGATGGATATGTTATAAGCCAAAATGGGACCCTGATGGAAACAAAATTAGGACAGTGATTGCAACGCCGTGTTTTGTAATTGATTGCCCCTTTTTGTTTACGAGTGCCCTCGTTTCCGTCGCGAGAATAAGTGTAGATGTAATTGTGTCGCCATGCAGATCGCCACCAAATTGTCCGAAAGTTTCTGATAGGATTTGCTTTTATTCCACGTCCTCGTTCCCTTGTTTTCACTTCCCTTTTTTGCAACAGCTCTCATTGGTTTTGTACACGTTTTCTAATCGAGGTCGTCCTCGATTTGACTGCTGTTCTCAATTACGTAATGAAGCTCCACAAGTGTGCCCCCGGTTTACACCATAAACAAACCCGGGCGTAAAGAAATTCTTGTGGGATAAAGACCTTTGTTTATCTTCTTTTGTTTTCGTTTGTTCTGTATTGAAATATCAAATTTCATAGCGTTTCCGTTATGGGCCAGTTAGATTATGGGATCTATTGTTTTATTGTGTTTCCTACCCCCATAAGGAACCATGTACATGTGGGCAATTCCACCGTCACTCACGTTACATTTGTATGCCATGGGGCTACTTTGATTCACTGCTTCTAAAGTATTTGATCAAATTGAATCAAACTAGCCAGACAACAGCCTTGAGTAAGGGGTACTCAAAACTGGAAAGAAAAATTCAATTCATTCATTAAGTTTTTAAAAACATGCGTTTTGTTGGTCGTCACTCACATTACAAAAAAAAGCACATGGAAAATTGTCCTGCAATTTGGTTGTTACAATCTCCTCAAACTGTAGTCTACAACGCACAAGTAACATATGTTACCTTTCATTCAACCCATAGTTGTAATTAAAATCCCATTTGAATCCTATTTTAGATGCAAGGGACATTAGATTACATGGAGGTACCTTCACTCACGGTACGTCTCTCACGTTACTTTCTCTTCATGGTTTCTAACACGGCACAAAAACTGAGATTGATGAACTGCAACATAATGAAACTCTTCAAAAAAAATATGAACCTTTCTCTCTGCCTTAAACACAAAAACTCTCAATAACAGTCACATTTTGTATGGTAAAACAAAATGCCAAAATGACTACTAAAAATCCATGATTGTAGCAAAAATACCCCATTGTTTTACCCAAAATCACACTTAACTACATTACATCTCAGTGGCACACCACTCAAATGAAGGATCGTGTTAT